CACAACTGATCCCACAATGGGGGAAAGAAACCTGTGTTTCAGCCATAAGGATCTCTGAGCAACTACTCAAAAATACCTAAAGCAGGGCAATGTACAGTATTTGAGAGAGATCAGGAACAAGATATTACACATGAGCCTATTTACATTGCTGCTCAGTTGACTATTACATAGTCCCTCATCATTTCACCCATCTTATCACTGCAGTGATTTGTTGTACAGTCTGATTGCTGTGGGGAGGAATGACCTGCGGTAACGCTCCTTCTTACACTGGGGATGTAACAGTCTTGTGCTAAAGGAAATGTTCAGAGCCTCTACTGTGTGGTGCAGGGGATGGGAGGGGTTATGCATGATGGATGTTAGTTTTACCAGCATCCTTCTGTCCGCCACCTCCTCGATGGAATCCAGAGAGCAGCCCAGGACAGAACCAGCTCTCTTGACCAGCTTGTTGAGTCTTTTTCTGTCCCTGACCGTGCTACCTCCTGCCCAACCCACACCCGCGTCAAACACTGCAGATGCCACCACAGAATCATAAAATGTCTGAAGGAGTGTCCCACACACACCAAAGGACCTTAGTCTCCTCAACAAGTGGAGGCAGCTCTGGCCCTTCCTGTACAGGGCATCTGTGTTGTTGGTCCAATCCATCTTATTGTTGAGGTGGACACCCAGGTATTTAAAGGTGTCCACAATCTAAATGACTGAGCCCTGCAAGCTCACCGGCGTGAGTGATGGTGATTTCCGCCTACAATAGTCCTGTCACTCACTAATCTGTTCCCTTCTATGCTCTACACTCACTCCCTGATTCCCGTCACTTCCACTTCTCAGCTGATGTTAAGCTGCACAGAAACTCAGCACCTCCCGCAGATTTTTCATATTAAATTTCCTCCAACCTTCCTTTTATTGTTAAGCTAGTAACGTGAACGGTGTGAAGTGATGGGTTTCACTGACAGTTCTTTAACACCAGTGTGAAAGAAGAGGAAAAACTCATTATTTTTGTTCTGTTTAAAAAGAACCATGAGAGCAGCATAGTGATAAGTCTGATGTGACTCTGGCTTCATCATGTGTGCTTGTAGACTTTTTAAAACTCTTTACTAGGTCATTGCAGTGACTTGCCTGGACCCACTGAGGGAAGAAACACACAGATTGAGGCACAGGTTCCCCTCCACCGGCTTTAAGAAATATTGCATTGAAAGAGTTCAAAACTCCAGCAACATTTGTATTATAAAGTGTAACTTTAAATGTTGTCCCTCAACTGATGCAGGAGAACCAGCACTGAGATTCAGGCAGGTAGTGTGCAGGCAAGAGCAAATGCATCAGCTGTGATCAGGAGGGCTCATGTTTTTATAGTAAAGTTTAATTTGCAGCTTACAATTTTACAACACTAATTAAAAAGAGCATGTGCACTGATTTGTACCTTGGGCCAGAACAGCAGCAACAGTGGAAACAGCTGAACCCTGCATTTTGACTGACAGCTCAATGAATTTACCCACTGGAGCCCGGTGGGGTAGGTGACAACACTTCCATGAGACATTGCCACTTTTTGTGTATTTCCACCCTGAGCCATCATGAATGTTGTTGTTTACACCTGCGCTTCCTTTGTTAGGACAAGTCAAAATATCTGTTGTGGAAAGGCTGTTATGTCATGTGATGTGGGTTGTAGCATGTTGTTCAATGGTGCAGTCCTTCATCAGTACAAAGTATACCATGTACGAGAGTCGATTCCTGTTTGGTTTGGGAAGTAAGCTTATTTGCTTTTCTACATAGAGTTGGAAGAGAGGATTGACACCAGTCCCATGAGTGTATGGTAAGAAGTGTAGCTGAAGCCAGCTTATGTTAATATCATACAGACTGGAAGCAGGGTCGGACACTCTCCACCTCCAGCCCCTTCTGAAGCTCACTAACACTTTATATGTTATTGACTTACTAAACTAGCTTTTTTTCAGGGGGCTATGTGTGCGACTCTTGGCCCTTTGGGCAGAGCCAGGCTTGCTGCTTCCCCCATATTCTTTATGCTAATCTAAGCGAGGCAGCTGCTTGTTCCGGCTACATATGTACCATACAGAGTAATGTCAGTCTGAACATCATACAACCAACAAAAAATTAACTATTAGAGGATATTCTGTGCTTATAAAGTTCATCCTCCAATGAAACATATTAAAATATAAAGCATTTATTGTTTCCATCACAACTTTATTTATCTGTAACAACTATCTGTCTGTCATATCTGATGACACAGGCCTGAGTGTAACTAAAGGCCAGTACTCACCCTATACATCATGGGCTGCCTCTTGTCCTCAGAGATTAAGCGTTGCCAGGGCCAAAGGTGTTGAGCATGTCCTGCAGTCCAACTGCTCCCTTTTCTACCATGGATGTGGGAAAATAATTGACAACACGGACTCTTTTCACCAATCATTTTCTCTCTCAAGACCACCAATATTAAGACACAAGTATATAGAAAGACAGTATTTAAATCAGACGAAGATATTTGTTAAGAATATCCAGAGATGTCGTGCACGGGCCCTCGACTCCTGCCACTTCAGATGCTGTAAAAGGTTATGGCTGGTCGGGGCCTCTTGCTCTGGGGCAACATCTTTTAAAAATATCAGGGTCTTGTGGTTCATAATGAGGAAACGTCACCCACTGCTGCAGTGTTTCCCTGATGTGTTTAATTGTTTTTGAACAGCAGTGGAGGTCTATGGCACATAACCCAGGACTGATGGACACTAACAGTGAGTAGAGGCAAATCAGTGTTGGTTTTATTCTCTGGATGGGGAGTGTTTAAAGCGCTGTTAAAATAGAAAATGACCGGCCTGATCCATGAATTATATGGGCAAAATTGCAAATTGGCCATCAATCTAGACTTAGTAACCCATAATAATTTTTGCAATTTTATTATAAACAAGAGCTGAAAGTATTTATACCCTTTGCTGTGGCACTGCAAACTGTGGTCATGTGCATCCTGTGAAAGGAGCCCAGTGGTCACTCTAACCGAGCTTCAGAAGTCCTCTGCAGAGATGAGAGAACCTGCCGAAAGAGTGGCACAGTGGCTAGACAGCAGCCGCTTTGAGTAAAAGAGTTATCAGCCCACTTAGGTTTGTCAAATAGCATTTTCTCTGCTCTGCTGAGACAACAACTGGGAAGAACTGAACACCTGGCTAACGCCACCCCTACAATGAAGCATGGTGGTGGCAACATCAGTGCAATGGGAGACTTCTCAGCAGCAGCAACAGGAAGACTGGCGAGACCTGAGGGAAGGGCGAATGTAGAGACCAGACGATGGCAGACCGCAAAGAATGGGATAAACTGCCCAAATCTCGGCGTGTTATGCTTGTAGACAGTCACCCCTCCAAGCTGTAACCATCACCAAAGGGGCTTCTACAAAGTACTGTACTAAGGGTCTGAATACCTTTGGAAATGAGAGATTTCCATTTGTTTTTGAACAAATTTTCACTCTGTCATCATAGTTTATTTACTGTAGATTAACGGGCCATTTTTACCATTTAAAATTAAATTTACAACACAAAAAAGTGCAAAAAGTGAAGTAGACCCTGACCCTGTGTCCTAGTTGTGATACCACAGCACAACCCTGCACTACAGTAGCTATTGTGAAGTAGTTACTAAAACATACAGCTTTGGGACATAATGTTACTCAATCCTGTTGCTGAGTAAGAAAGAAAAATATCCAACATCATCTACTTAAGATTTTTCTTTTAGTGGGTTCTGTGTCTGGTTTTCCTACTAGACTAATATATTAGCAGCTGAAAAAGGAGGGGGGGCGACTATGGTTGAATGTCATGGATAACAGAGGAACCGGTGGCTACAATGTGCGGTAGGCACACTGATAACGCTTTCTGCATGCTGTTGTTTTTTGTATGCAAACATTTTTCATTGTTTAGATCAAAATCAAGATCAAAGATTTTTATTGTCAGTTCACTATATGTGCAGGACATACAGAAAAATTTAAATACAGTTTCTCTCTTACCTAATATTGAATGCCCATACCATTTAAGGAACTAAAATAGAATAAAAGTAGAATAAACATAGCTTAACTAAAATACAAAGGGTTCACATTCTAATAATATGTTCTGTTATTATATATAATCCATTCACAGTAAACCCCAGGAAGATGTTTGGTGACAAAATGAGAGTTACTTGCAGCTCAGTAGTGAAATACTGTGAAATTTCTCGGCTATATTTTATTATATTTTGTTTTAAGTTTTTTTCTTGCTAGCTAGTTAATATTTTTAGAATGTATGGATAAACAGAATGTTATCTTTTGCCTCTGGTGCAGTTCTGCTTTTCAATAATGCTTGAAACTACAACGTAACATGTTCTTGTACTTCAGTGGGCCAGTGTTTTGGACTCCTGTGATGTCCCTTGTGTTTATAATATTCTGTAATGTTCACAATGGCGTGTCACATGTAATGGTGTTTGATTTCCTCATAAACTTGGTGATGAGCTGTGAAAAGCTGTAGGCTACTGGACTCTGTTGGACTGTAGTGGAGTGCTGAAATGATATCTTAATTATACCAAACCAACTGTCAGTGGACTGGCTGGCCTGAGCCGGCACTAGCAAACCAAACTCTGTCTCTAAAGAGTCATTTTTGAGTCACCTGTGGACATGAATGCTTCTTGTTATTTTATTAACACACTCTATTGCAAACATATGTCATTGGCTAGATGCTATCTCTTTTATTTCTTTTTAATAAATGTGGTATGCACAGAAAAAGCAGTTCTCTCTGAAAAAACAAAAGAATTTTCAGCACCATTACTTTTGGGTGCATTTTAAACAATGAGCATTTAGAGCACTGGTGGGGTTACTCTAAACATTACTTCCCATTATTGACATGACAGTTGGCAGTAAACAGAGTAGTAACATGTATAGGTAGCACTAAAATAACAGACAGATAGGAAAGAGCATGTTTTTAAGTTTAGCAACTGAAATACACGGAATTGCCTGCACTGAATGGTGGAAGACAGCAGAATGAGTCGCCAAGATGAGAAAATATAGGAGCACACAGGCTGTAATCAGCCTGTCCATCTCAACACTGGGCTTCAATTACTTTGCAGATGCTCACACTTCTGTGTGCGCTAAAAGCCCAGACAACTGTGGGTCTTACAGCACTGCTGCTACAGGACAGCCTAGCCACATACGATATGATGTCATATTGCTTTTTTGGGAAGGGACACCTCTGCAGGGCCAAATGATCCTGTACTCACACATGTAAAGGGAAAAAAATCAACTGCAGTTTCTTGAGCTGCAGAAGTGCAGTGTTGTACCGTCAGGGTCCCTGCACGGACGACAGTAGTTAGTAGATGGTATTCGTTACTGTCCCAACTTCATACCCGGTGAATTCAAACCACATGCTAACAAATATACTTTAGCTGGTCATGTGCTAGGCTACATTTCTCTTAAAATCCTACTGAAAGTGGTCTCAGTTTCAAGAGTGGTTTTCCACTGATTCAGCTTTGCACTCATGCATTACTGTCAGACTCATGATGGACAGTTAAAAAGAATCCAAATCAGCAGAGTTACAAAGGACACGGAGTCTGAAATCACTCTGACTCACTACTCAACAAATAAGGGACATTCAGTGAGCAGAAAATTCAGACTTCAGACACTAATCATCATCATCGCCAACAGCTGCAAAACTGCTCAACGGCATTTTTAGACTATTAAAATGCTACCTAGGTGACGTGTAATCATCATGCTAACACTTATGGTTTAATCTTAATTTTACTGGATTAATTTACATTAAAGTTCTGATGAGCTGGGACTCTCATACAAGACTTAACTAATTAAACAATACTCATGTAATAGACAACCTTCCTAAATCATAAGCAGTCTTGTGAGAACTATCTGTAATAAAACATGGCATCCAGCACCACCGACCATACATTTATTCTAACAGAATTAATATCAATCAATAATTCAAATCTCCAACTAATAACATCCAAATCTATCCAATAAACAAAACAAACAAAAAACTAATGCTTCTATATAAATGTAATGTTACTGGATCCAGTTTGTAAACCAATCAGCTCTTAGATTGGGTGACAGCCACTTGTTTTCCATCATTCCCTGAGGTCTTGAAATTGGCGAGAGAAACCGCAACCACCTTGATCTCATGAGGTTATCGTTGACTGCTGTACATTTGCATGATGTCAGAGTACGTTGGGATCAGACTGATCTAACCAGCATGATTTGTGCAGCGATCACCTGGCTCTTCTTGACCACACCTACTAGCCATTCACAGACCCACTAGGTGTCTTTCTCAAGGTGGACGTGCACACATGACCTTTTTGAATTTCATAATTGCAACCTGTGGACATTTTATGGGAGTGGCTGACATTAAGAAAAATAGTGAATAGCAGTTTTATTCATTAAATGTGAACTATACAGCTAAAAAACCTCTAGCAAAATTTTCTGGAGGTTTCAGCTGCAGCTCTTGGTCCCCCTTAGCATGTGACATTTAATTAGTTGTCTTCAGTCATCAGTGAGAACGTTCTGCTGAAGAAAACCTTGTGATACAGGCAAAAGCTCTGTATAAAGAACTAGTAGGCAGATTTTTGTTTTTGCAGCTGTCCGTTCAGTGCAATGCACAATCACTTTGTCCTGCTTACACAATTAGCTATGTTTTTTCTTCTTTTTTTTTTTTAGGAGCAAGATATGTTTGTACACAACATGTTGGTATACATGCACGTTGTCTATAGTTAACTCATTAACTGGTCCACATACAGTTACAGTCAAAAGTTTGGACACACTTTCCCATTCAGTTCAATGGGAAAGCGTGTCCAAACTTTTGACTAGAAGTGTATGTAATTAAAGAATTTGAATTTAACCTGTCAAAAAAAAAAAAAAAAAAATGATGTTGATTATGAGGTCGCTGTTGCCAACCTTTTAACTTTTGCTCTCAGGCCACTTTATTAGGTACACTTGTACAATTGTATGCACTTTAATGCAACACCTCCACCTTAACATTTGTGTTTATGAAGCTCAAAATGTTTCAATTTTTGGCAAGATTGTCATAAATGAATAAATTCAGTGATATGTTTATTACCTGAGGTCATAGTTAAATGTGGTGTCGTACTGGGCTACATTATATTCAGAAGTGTTCCTAATATTCTGACCCTCTCGTGTATGTAGTTGGGGTGGACAAAACATCGACAGGTGTAACTAATAAAGTGGCTGGTGAGTGTATATTATTTGTCTAGTGTTAGTCATGTATTAAATGTTTGCATCTGGATTAGAGTGTAAAGAACCTGACGTTCTTCTGTGTGAGCTGATTAAACCATGAAACAGTGAATTCATTTAGCTGGTTTATTTAGGTTATGTACAATAAAGCCTCACATGAGCCTTTTCAAAAACTGTAGCCTACAGAGTCCCTCACATACATAAAAAGAAACAAACACCTTTTTTGACCTGTTAAAAGCCATGGTGGGCAGGTGTAAGTGCAGTTTCAAAAATTCAAGCTGGGGGATGGGTGGCAGAAGCGTGTGATTATGAGATCGGTGGAAGAGGAAACTAACAGCAGCAGCATCACAAGCCATAAGAGGGGTTTACAGAGTGATCACCTCCTCTCAGGTTGTCACTGGTCCCCCAAACCCCTCAGGTGACCTTATCAGACAGAGGAGCACACAGACTACACATTTTAAAGATAAAGAAAAAACAGGCATGGGGTTCCATTCCTGGTTATCAGTGTTATGATTTCCTGCAAAAATATTGCACAACTATGGCAGCCAATAAGCAAATATCTACATGAGCAACACATCTATGAGACAGAAAAGAACAGGAAATGTGCCCTTACTTCCACGAAGTCTGGCTGATTTCTCCTCTTATCAAATTAGCCTGGACGAGTCCTTCTGGAGCTGTACTACATTATTGGACAAATCTGCTACTAACTCTTACTCAGCGGGTGTTCAGTGCATTTTGGGTGATGTCTTATTTTCTTATTGGCTGAATGTTACATTTGGTTGGTCATTGTACATTAAGCAAAACAAATCTAAAGCTGTCTCAGGAAAAGTCAGTCCCACAGGAGCCCTAAAGTGGTTTCCAGTCCCTGGGATGTGGACCAGTACTGGGCTACATGTCTAATGTTTTGTGAAGAAACAATGTGATTCTGCAAAAAATAATAATTCTACGTACTAATACAGAATGTTAAGACTCTCCATCCATCCATCCATTATCTATACTTCGTACGCTGTAGAGGATCACAAGGGAACTGGAGTTGACCCCAGCTGACACTGGGCGAGGGGCGGGGTTATTTTAGACTATTATATGCTATTTTGCAGCTTTGAACTTGGTGCATTTTTACACACACACACACACACACAGATTGATCAATTATATAACTGCTGGAGAACATGTTACATGCTTGTAACATTATAAGACATAAGACCTTCATTCATTCAGATATCAATCACAGAAGTCAATTACATGTCTTTCTCACACTGCACTCATGAAGGTTTTGACAAGATATGTGCCTTATTTGAGTTTTAGAAATTGGAGGGGTGTGCTGAACAGATGGTAACGTAGCAAGACAAAAACAAAACAAAACAAAAATACCTTTAAAAATGGAAGAAAAAACCCAAAACAAAACAATGGATCCCAGGATAATTACATTCTTACATCCAAGGAAAAAAGTATGGTTCACATAATGAAATGTTTGGCTTAGCCAGTACAAACAAATAAGACAGAGGTACACTGCATCAGATTCCACTCAAAATTAATTATGTAACAGCTTAAATCTCAAAGAGCTTTATGAGCAGGGTAAGTAACTTCTAAAATACAAAAATGTTACATAAAAAGGCTAAAAACAAAACATATGTACTGTAGGACTGTTTACAGGGTCCATAGACAAATACCATGACTGTCTAAACCTGCTTTTCCTTAGTAGCGCTGACACTGGTATAGACTCAAACATCACACTCATTTGAACTTGCTACTTGCAGCAAACAAATAATTATTTTTCTTCATTAAAAATTAACATGATTCAGAATTGTAGACCACAGAAATATATGCATTTTCTAAAGTCTTCATGTCAACGCACTTACAGACTAGAAGAAAACTAATTAAATGCTTTCAATGACATTTTGAAGCCACAGAAAAACAAAAGGGCAGATAATAGTACCTGGATGGAAACAGCATCACACTGTGCAAATCAAGACATCAGCGATGGGTGTAGCATGTGGAAATTTCTTTAACCATCCCTTCTTTTTCATGTAAAAAGGAAGTGAATCATACTCTGTACCTCAAAATCCCGAGTGTTTTAAATGGACAAGGGAAATGCCTGAATCTCAAAACAGACATAATTTTGCTGGGAGGCCCAAAGCACTGGGCCGAGTCTTATTTAGTGGAGTGCTTCCACACAGATCTGCTCTTCAGTAACATCATCCATCATTTGCACATCTACAGGGCTGCATGTGTCACTGTCATAGACCTCTGTCCCCATCAGGGCCTCTTCCTCCAGACCTTCACCTTTGCCTTTAAAACCTTGCTGCTCTGAAGGAGAGGTGCTCTCCACTGACTCCAGGTCCTCAATACCTGCCCGGTAATGGATCATTAGCAAGGTGAGGGCCTGGAGTCTCTCCCCAGACTTGGCCAGGGCAGTACTAATTAGAACCTTGCGCCGTGCATCTGTGGTCTCCCTCTCCTCCAGCATAAGGGCATTGTTGTGCTCTAGCTCTTGATCAATTTCCTGCTGTAACTTGTCCAGCATCAACTCCAGCTTCTGAAAGCGCTCATCTGTAGGCAGCCCCCGGTACAGGTCACGGCCTATCTCCTTTACAGCAATGAACACGCTGTCATCCAACCCACCCTCCTTGCGTACAAGTTTACCACTTCCACCACTGCTGGTGGGCTGCTTTGAGGGGCTGGCACCACTGGTGTATGTCTCAGTATCACTGCTCTCATTGTCTGAAGTGTTGGGGGTTTGTTTAGGTGAGGGTTCCACCACTCCAGGAACCACATCAGCCACCTGCTCAACTAGCCGGGTCTTGGGCACCTGGCGAAGGTTAAGCAGACGGGAGCTGGTATTTATGATATGCCGCGTTAAGCCAGTGGTGGCCCGGTTTATGGTGGACTTGGCTTCAGGGTCAGCTCCACGACGTTCAGTTACTTCGACACAGAAGGGATTTTCAGCAAGGCACTTGTCCTGGCACTTCTTGTGGCAAACATAGCTGCAGAACATGCACTGAGATGCTGCCTTTGTCCAAACCTTCTTCTTGCAGTAGTCACACCAGGTGGGGTTCTGGAACTGAGTGTCCTGGAAGTTGTGACGGATGTCCGCTGACGTAATGACACTGTAAGGCAAGTCATCATGCGGTGCTGAGGTGACATGCTCCTTCTCCCTTTCCCTTAGATCTTTGTCAAGGAGATTGCCCTCCCTCTCCCTTTCTGCCAGCCCCCCTGGATACTCAAACTCCCCCTCAGTTAAGTAGCAGAAGTTCAGAGTAACATCACCATAACACAGCTTCTCATTGAATCCCTTGTGAGTGCTGAGGCTACGAAGTGCAGTGCGACTGACATTAGCTCTAGGCTCTGGAGGGCCCAACCTAAAGGTGCTCTGGTACTCAGCTGAAGATGTGGCCATACATTCCAGGGACACATGCTCCAGCTGTATACTAGCATGACCCAGGCATAGCAAACTTCCCGGCTTAAAGGGGTCCCTGCACCACAGGGCCACATTAAGGTACTTATGGTTGCTCTCCACCTCAAACATCACAGAGGCCTTGGGCCAGCGAGCTGTCTGGTTACGAAACATGGTTTCTGGGGATTTCCATAAAAAATGTTCCTCTAGACTGTCCCGTGTGCTGCAGGAGCTCTCTGAAGCTTTGTCCTTTGCTTGATCAACCTTGCAGCTGCTAGTAATTGTGGAAAGGACTGGTGGCTCATCACGGGCCTCTGCTGGCCTGGTAGACTGCTTCACCTCAGACTGTTTGACACACGTTTTTTCAGGGCCAGCCTTGTCCTCATTGGCACCAGCAAGAAGAACTTTTTCTGGAGATTTTTCAAAAGTGCTGATGGTGGTAGTCACAATAGGAGCAACAGTAGAATTAGTATTTGTAACAGAATCAACACCTTCCAAAAGACTGGTTTCTGAGGAGGCTGATGTCAACCTTATCTGAGGTCTTGGCGGCACCGGAGGGCGAGAGGGAGGAGGTGGGGGAGGAACAGTGGGGCGCTGGAGACTATCCACTGGATAACCACTGGTCTTATGTGGTGAGGGCTTTGGTGATTCTTTGGGCTGAGGCTTTAGTGGTGACTGGAGACCCACCAGGTTTAACTTCCGGTTGAGGATGGGTGATATGGTACCAAGGGGCTTTGAGGCCAAGTTGGCCACAGTCCTTTTGGGGCTTTGGTTTACAGCAAGTAAGAAATCCTCCTTAGTTTCACCGGTATTCATGGTACTGTTGTTAGGGCCACTACTCTGGCTAGGTCTAGAGTCCACAATCAGCTCTTCAAACTCAGAGTCCATGTCTTTGCTATCGGATATGTCAGAAAGGGTGGTGATGGGGGCTGGGTCTTCCTCATAACCCCCTGGCTGGGGAATAAAACCAGTTTCTTCTAGCTGCCCCAACCCTTCCTGAAGAGTTCCCATACTTCCCAAAGAGGGAGACTGATGGCGAACCGGTCTCTCATAAAATATGACCACCCTATCTCCAGCCTGCCTCAGCAGTTTGGGCACTTGAACTGAGGATGTCACTTTGATACCTGTCATTGGGAACAAGAACAGGAAATAGGTTTTCAGTCAGAACTGAATGAGTTTCAAAAGTTTAAGTTTTTATGCAATATTACACAACTCAGAGGCCTTACAAATAATTGTCTTATATTAGGCAATTAAAATTTTGACATTCTCCTGATTAATAATGTGTGCAGGGACGTGTCAGACCTCCAATGGCGATAAGACGATCACCCCTCTGCAGATCTGCCAAAGCTGCAGGGGAGTTGGGTGTGACCGTCTCAATGCTGACGTGGACTACATCACCCTCGATGGCAGGAACATGCCTGAATGTCATCCCCACACTGCCACATGGCCCCTTGATTACCTCCGTCTGATGCATACATGTAATAAAAAATAAATAAATCCATCAAAAAGCAGAGCATTGATGACATTCATTGAATTAGAGGTTACAGGCCACATGCTCTGTTTATTATTGTATGCTTAATGTATTTATTTGTGTACTGGTAGTAATGTAGTGCACAAGAATATAATTTATGATAAATGGTAAGATCTTCCTTTTCTCTCAAAATGTATGAACAACTCTACTACTACAAAATAGGTCTGAAACATTAGGTTAGAGTATAGAGTCTTGAAAAACAACCTTGGTTTTTCTTAAGGTGTGTGTGTTTGGAAGAAGATTTTGAAAAGATGGTTGTAAAGGTGGTTGCAACATTCTGTGATTTGTATTTATAGCTAATTATATTTCTCTTGGCAAGAGTAAATATTGAATCTTCAACAAGTATTCTAACATGATTAGGTAATGTGTTATAAACTTTGTATCTATGGTGATCTAAAAATGATCAGAAATGTTTAGTGAATGAAGTATAAAATACTGGTGATGGCGGTGCAGCATATGTTAATTTTTGATCATAAATTAGTTGCATTATTAACAATTGTATAAAATGTACTTGTTTAAGGTGTTTTTCAAAAGTTTTGCATGCATATCAACACATCTGGGTGAGAAGTACATCAACTGTAATGTCTGTTAAATTATTGTTGTACATTATCCTAACACCATCCATGTTCAATAAAAAGAAATTAACTAGGAAAGACATATTCTTACAGAAAGCCAGGAAGGCGCAGAGTTTCTTTATTGACACACTGAGAACAGATATGTTTCAAGGTCAAAATTTAAATAGAAAATAAGCTGATATTCTATGAGTGGATCCCCCCTTGTGTTTGTCATGTACACATGACTGCAAGCTAGTAAACATGGATGTAAATAATGCTGGGTATGAAATAATTAAAAAAAGCCTCTGCAAATGTTTTATGTTTAAGAAATTCCCTCAAGAAGTTCCTGACATATCTGCATTCACAATAATCTCCAGCCATGGCTACCGCCGGCAAGGAGGCATAAAAATGCTTCAAGTGCATCATTGATATCTGCCTCCAGCACTTTGACAAGAGTCTCAAACTGAACGTGGTAATTCTGTGGGAGAGGAGAGAGCTGCAATTAAACCTCCACCCGCAGCTGCCTTGATAACAGCCACTGTGCACAATCTAAGATACTTTTCCCACAACACACCTGTTATGATAGAGGTGGCCAGCTCAGTGCCTGACAGGTCGTCTGTCAAATAACAGCAGATGTACAGAAGCAAGACATTCGCACCTCCTATGCTGATGATCAACAGGGTACATAAAGCCATGCAATTTTAACAGTGGAGACTGCCAGCTTATCAGAGACATATAAGCTGCGATTCTTCTAGGTAAACAGAAAGAACTACATTAGGTGTAGGAGGAGGAAAAGAAAGGATGAAGATACAGGTGTCCTGGACTAAAAAAAAAAAAGGAGGACTGACATAATGTTCGTAGACGGAGACGGATGACTGTAATTTTCCCTGCTGTTATCTGTTACGGTTCTGGTGGAAGGCAGTGATTGAGTTACAGTTGGCCTCGAATAAGCACACGATCTAAGCTGGAAAGGCAAGACTGGTGGTTGGATGTGCGGGTACTTCACTGAAGGCTGAGGGGCGGCCCTGACCCATTCTCAGTATAGCTTAGTTAAGTAGAACAACCAAGGCGATGTCAACGCAAAGAATGTCAGTCATCTGTTGTACAGTCTGTCTTCCCAAACTCTTCCTTCAGTTTGATGTTAAAGGAACCATCCTAAGCTTGGCTTGGATAAAGGAAATTCAAAACCAGCCTATTTTCTTCAACCTATGTTGCAGAAGTGACGGAGAAGCGCAGAAGCTACAGGAAAAGTAAAACAGTACAGAAGAGAAAGGGGTTCACTTTCAAACTCTGTTCAAGATTGAAATGCACTGAAGCACCTGTCCATGGACCTACAAGGACACAAGGAGGCTGTATGGGGATTTCAAATGGCCATCACTCAATAGGACCTGCATGGATAAGAACATACTGAAGGCATTTCTATGGCAACAAGCAGATGCCAAAGAGGAAGAAAAACAAATGGAGACATGAATGAAATAAAAGCCTCAGGAGTTTAGGATAACATCCAAACAAAAGACTGAAAATCACATAAGAAAGACAACTTTGACCCATTCTCTCTCCTTTTCTTTTCCATCACTTCTGTTCTTAACTCTACACTGGCTACCAGTTAACCATAGAATAGTTTTGACAGTTTTAATAATGTTAAATTGCTACTGCTAGTTTATAAATCACTCAGTGATCACATTGAAGAATACGAACCCAGCAGGCCCATGGGAGTTTTAGGAAGCAGTCAGATGGTAGCCACTATGCTTAGCATTGGCTATCGGGGGGGGGGGGGCGTAATGTTTTTATTATACATTTTATACTGTCATGAAAATAATGACAATACAAGTTGTCAAGTAGAGATAAGAACTGTACATTTTAGTTTTCCATTTTAAAAACTGTGGAGGATATTCATTTATTTGTTTTGATTTTAATGTGAAACATAACAAATCAGTCAAAGTCATCAGCACAATGGCTGATTGTCTATATGTAACTGTGTGTATACAGCTGCACTGCTGGCTGTAATGCAGTCACTGTGCCTTCAATAGATTTTCACAGGAAAGCACGAGTCCATTCTGTTGAAGTGCAAATAGTGGCAATCTCACTTTTCCACACACTCATGCCACCAATATATGCACAGTCACAGACCCTCATATTTACCTGTCAGTGCGCACAGTGATAAGATAGCGCTCACCAAGAGCAACACTACCTTCACAGATATAAAACCAGAGGTTTGCTCCTTTTTCCTGGGTCTTACAGTTTCATATTCACTATACTGTCTAAGCCTAAAGAGAGCAACGTGCTTGTCATGCCCAACTATACAAAATTACTGCAATTCCCATCCTGTGCTTTCTATTCATACCTTTGCCCACATTTTGTATCAGTAAAATAATTTTCCTAGAAATTGCTTAAAGTTAAAGCCACATTACTATATCAATAGCAATATTTTTAGTACAAGTTCACATAGGCTACTTACATTTGAGTATCTGGTGATACAGAGGTCCAATACAAATACTTAATAATAATGCGCTGTTTCTGCCATAAAGGTTACACCACAAAAAGTGCACCGATTTCAGAGACACTTTATTTGAATGAGATTTATGTTCTGATTATGAGTAAATAAAATATAGGGAAGCTGTCCAAATTACAGTAGCTTAAAAATTTTGGTGTAAATTCCAATTAATATAATGTGGAACTATCGCTCCCTGTCACTTACCAAGACAGATCTAAAAATCATTAAAGCTCTAGTCACTCCAATATTTATCCACCCAGATCAAATAGGTTTAAAACAGGGTAGTTCAGATAACATCCATAACTGGACCGGTCTTGCACAGCAAAAAAACCCCCACAATTGTATCATTAGATGCAGAAACAGCATCGCACAAAGTTAACTAGATATGGTTTTGAAGAGTTGTTCATCCACCGGGTTAGAACACTATGGGGCCACAATAGGCACAAATGGGATCACCTCAAAAAGTTTCACTTTGCAATGGGGAACCAGACAAGGATGCCCACTTTCACCATCTCCATTTGCAATCTTCACTGGAGGCCATCATACTGGACAAAAAAAAAAAGAACAACTAACAAATACACACAAAAAAATAAAGGGAGTCCTATGAGGAGCCAGTAACAAATGTCAGACTGAACAATTAGGTTTTAGCTGTAAAAAAAAAAAGGCACTAGAACTAATGTGTCAAGAAAGAAGCAGGATAACTGGATCTTAATGACTGGGGTTAGTCAGTGATTAACACCCCAAACCAGACTACAGTATAGTTCTTTTATTAATCTGTCTGCAACATTGATAACAATTTGGTTGTTAACGTACTCTAGTTAATTTTACAATTCTTCATTTCAGGCATGCTTTTTTCATGGAGGGAGAAAAGCAAATGTGCAAATCCAAACAAAATCCAAACATTATTTTAAAAAAGTCCTTTCTTCACCGATTTTCCTGAAAGTACTGTAGCTGTTTGATGCTTTTTCAGACTGCAGAGTTTTAACTGCTGTGTAGGGGAGCTTTCTCTCAGGGCTGAGCAGCAGTTACTAGACTAACCTTGTTAACATTGACTAAGACAACAAGCAGCTCTCGGTTCCTTGTCTCTAGGAAAAACACAGAACATAGCAACCCCAAAATGGCCAGATGTAAATCGAGCAATTTACCATCTATTTCAGCAAATCCAGCCTCTTTTATCTGCACAGCCACAGAGAACAAATGAAAGGTTAATACGTTCAGATGGCAGCTGTCATTAAAGTTCTGTCCTTCATGTTCAGGACAGGAACCCAGACAAGTCTTCCTTTGATCTCCTCAACAAACCATTCACTGTAATAGACACATTTCCATTACACTATGACATATCATGGGGTGCCTCGCACAAATAAGCTTGAAGAAACTGCTTTTTCCCATCTTTTTATCAAAGATCAAATGCAAAGTTCTGCAACTCCTCAAAAATGGACAAGTTTAAATGTTTTATCTGTGCACACAATGTACAGTAACTTTATCTTTGTAAATTACATGGCAGAGCTGTTGTGTATATAGGGCTGGATAATATGGCCCAAATAACATTTTGGTGGTTTTATTCTGAATAAAATATGTGAAAATACCTGTATATTTAGATTTGTGATAACAGATTGATAATAGATTTTCTTATGGTCATTAAGCATGTTACTGTAAGTGGCTCTTACTGCAACCAGTCTTTTAATTAGCATGTAAGGTCTGGCATCTATTTTTTAGGGATGCGACGATACACTTACCTCCCCAGACAAATCATACACAATAATGGGTTCATGAGAATGAGATGAGATTTTTAACACTGCGTTTAAGAAATCAATGATGAAATATATGACTGGAAAAATAGTCTTTTAATCCACTGAAAGTCACAAAACGCAAAACAATGCAGGTGC